ATAGATGCTTCATATAAACTTTTCCTGTCCTGCCATTCCCCACATCTGTTCGTGCTCTCTGGAGTGAGAACAGTTGCTGCTTGCTGGTGCTCTTGTGGTTTTACTTTTGCAGAGCAAAGACTTAGATTTTTCTTTTTCATCATCATTCATCAATCATGATCAACTTTATTGGGAATTTGGGGAGGGATTTCAGGTAGCACAGGCTACTTCTTCGGAAGGGCTTAGAATGCTGGTCGATATTTCTTTAAAAGGTGACAGGGAATGGTATAAATGTGATTTGGAGAATTGTGGGGAATATCTTTGTATTTATTATTTGTAATATGATGGATTGTCTTTTCATTCTTTAGAAATATAAATAAATAAATGGGGAAAATTTGGTGGGTGGCTAGATCCATCATTCCTTTTTCTTCCAAAACCTCCCTCCCTCTCTCTCTCTCTCTCTGTGTGTGTGTGTGTCTGAGACTTAGCTGGCAGGGCTTTTATTTTTGGACTTTTTTTGGCTTCTCTGCTACAGTGGGTCGGGTTTTTTTTTCCTAATTACATTATACTGAGGGAGGGGTTGTTTAGGCAGGCAGGTCACATTTTAGTAAAAGAATCACACCACCATCATTCTAAAAATAAAATTTATACACACTCTCTGACCCTCTATTAGTTTCCTTCCTCAATTTCCATTGCTTTATTTGTTTAGTTGGTTTGTTAGGCAGGCAGTAGAAAATGAAGGGATTTCTTCAGGGGCAATCCAAGGGGAAGAAGGGTGTGAAGCTACCCAGGCTAGGTAGCAGCACCATCATCATGACCACCACGTGCACAGCCACATCTACGATAACCAGTGCCACTGTCCCTCCTTGGGACAGCCTTCCTTGCAGGCAAGCATGGAACGTAAGCTTCCAGAAGTGCCAAAAGAAATGCCACTCCTCTTCCTAGAGGAATCTGAAGAGTTACTGGTTTCTGAAGATCCCCAGTCTGATTTGGAACCAGTAATGGCAGGGCTGGCTTCACAGCCCGCCCCTTCACCCCTGTCCCCAGAGTCATCAGTTCCCTCCTCCCAGACCAGCAGCACCCCTGGGACACAGAGTTCTTCCCAGCCCAGCCGTCACGGGCAGGCAGTGGGTCCTCGTTTGGGCAAACATGGCAGAGGGGTCATGTGGGATCATTTCACAGTGCTCAGCAATGACCCACGGCTGGCACGCTGCAATAAGTGCCTTGGGGTGGTCCAGAAGGGGTCAGACCCAATGCATCTGTCCTACACTGCCCTCCACCAACATCTGGAGAGGCACCACCCAAGGCTCCTCTCCAGGGAAGGCCACTTCGTCTGTGCCATCTGGGAGAGGGAAAAGAGCAGCTCCAGGGGAGTCAGAAAGGAGGCGACTCCTTTCAAAAGGGAAGCCACAGGGGTTTCTGGGGTCGGTAGCATGAAGCAGGCACAGTCCACAAAGTGGCATCCGTTGGGTCCACCATGACCCTCAGCCAGCAGTCGAAGGGCAAGGCCCAGCAGGCTGCCCCTTGTCTCGTCGCCGAGATGATCGCCCTGCTCAGACTTCTGTCAATTTTGGAATCCGCAGGGTGTTCAGGGCACAACAGGACGGGAACATCAGGCCACAAGGGGCAGGGTGGTTTGCCTGAACCACAGGCAAGGACTTCACCTGGTGAAGGCTCCATTCACCACCAACATTACTGGAGCTCTGTGGTGACCTTGGCAGTTGCCTCAGAGGAAAGACAGCTGGCTGAGGAGGATTCAGCAGAGATAATGGTGTGAAAATATCTGGCTGAGCCCCCTCAGCCCCACCACTCAGATCCCTTCCATTACTGGGCTAGGAAACTACTGTAGTCATATGGCCAAAGTTGTCCAATGTGGACATGGACCTCCTTTCCACACACACACCCATCGTATAGAGTGAGCGTGTGTTGGTGATGGGGAGACCACTATTTATGGGAGATGTGGCCAACAGGTATAGTAGCAGACTTTACCTGTTATTTGGAAGTTGATATTGTTGGTAAGCCATGCTGCTTATTTGTATAGCCCTAAACACGAGCTAGATTCCAACATTATATGACTGGCTTTCCTGTCTCCTTGCACCTGGATCTTGCTTCTCTATCTACCTGTCTGCCCTTCTACATTGCTCCTTATGCCCCACCCCATCCTCAGGCAGAGTTCTTGTCTCTGATTATATACTGTAATCAAACACCCTCTCTCTGTGCATGATGTCTGCTGGGATGTGCTTTCTGGCACTCCAGCTAGATGCTGATTGAGATCATCTCTCGACATTTCTGAATAGTTAGAGAGCCTATATTCCAGTACTGCCCAAGCGACATTTGCTTTTTCTCCATAATCCTTTTTTTTTCCAGTTCTTAGTCTTGTTTGCTTAGCAGGTCACATAACCTGCTTTCATTTATCCCTCTTCTACTTTAATTTTCCTGTACGATCAAGTAAATATTAACCCTCACTTCTGCTCAGCGGCTTGCATCATGAACATCCCTTTTCAAAATACAGTCAACTGATGCAAACCACAAACTGATCTTGGCTGTACTTTACAAAACATTATGTTGAATATCACCTAAAGCTGTTACTGACATTTGTTTTGTACTAAAGATGCAAAACTCGTATGGAGGTTCCCCTCAGAGCAGACAGTCAAAGAATTTTGAAGGAGACCAACAGACTAGCCAAATTTCTCTGGCACGTTTCATGTATCTCAAAACATAACATTAATTTTTGATGCTGATAATCTCTGACATGGTAGAGGTAGGTTTAAGCATTAGTCTGAAACAGCAGGAATCCTGCAGAGAATGGCGGCCATATCCAGGCATGCTAATAGGTGTTCTAATCTCATGACAAGAGAAAATACAGGTGGCTGTAGACTGAAGGAGACATGCTCTATTAACAGTACATGCACTGCATAAACTGCAAAAATCATGCCAGAATATCTGAAATTAGAATCAAACCCCCAAAAGAGTTTCCCCTCTTATGGGTGTAAGGCTGAAGGATTTACATCATTAATCCCTCCATATCCACACAGGAGTTCAAAATGATAATCCACCCACACCATCATTCTGTGACAGACAAATATCAAGTTATTCTCTTAGAGAAGAAAGGGAGTGTGTGAGAGAAGATTAAGACATCGACTACATTTTAAGAGATTCTGGATATAGAGCTTTCAAAATTTGAGAAAATGTATAGTTGTCCATTTTAAGTCAGTTAAATTTGTATTAGTCTGTTCTCTAGATCACACCTATTGTACATAGTAAAACACATTTTGTACCCACTCTGTAAAGGTTTTTTTTTTACCTCACAACTGTTAGCTGAGCGATCATTCTGCTATGAGTTCCTATACATTCACTGTCATATACAGTATGTCTGGGGCGATTATAGACAGGTGCATTTACTCATACAATTAATCTCTCTGTCTCTCTCACACAGACATACAGACAGAATTAGTTTTAGGTACTCCACTTCAACAAACAACCATAAGAGTATCACCTCATAAAGGTAGTACGGAATATACAGTACTTATATTTATGTGAATATAAGCACTGATTTCCTCTTGTGTTTTTCACAGTGTGTCCCCCTCCTTTTTGTTTTTTGTTTGTTTGGTTGGTTGGTTGGTTTTTTACTAAGCTATTATAGCAAAAAGAATGAATTCCATAAACATCTCAGGGAATGGAGAAGATTCATAACAGCTTTCTGGAAGTAGCAATTTTATACCCACCACCTTCTTTAATTTCCGTGCATTACAGCTAACCAGACAGAAGCAATTTATAGTTACTGCTAACATATAAGGTTGCCTTCCTCCAATGATTAGTGAGAAGCAAAGGAAAGAATGAAACATGAACAAAGAAGTGTGTAGCTAAGCTTGATGTTCCTTATATAATGCATTAGCATGAAATAATAGATACACCACTCTTTTATTTAAATATTTTAACAGCCCTGAGTACATAAAGAACATGTAATTATTAAGGTATACAAATGTATGTTTTAAGACTGCTTCCCCTAAGTGGCCAGAGATTTATAATTGTGCACACAGGATATTTTTCTCTCTCTGATTATACTCTTTGTCATTTCTCATTGCACAGACGTTCAATATGGGCTTTCACAAAATATAGATAAAGGATTTTTTAATATATAAAACTCTTGGGTGAACAAAATAAATAAAGGACAATTATCCTTTAAACAGGATTCGGTACATATAAATTGAGCAAATGTGTTGCATCAATATAAAAAGGGATGAGAGTCGTGCAATCAATTCAGTTCTGCAGGACAGATACTATAGAAGGTTAACAGCTTATCTTCTATAATGTTCACACACTGAAATAGACTACAGCATAACAACCCTCCATGGAGGCGCAGTGCTTTCTCAGTCGTCAATGGTAACAGACTGAAAGCCTGCAAACCTCCAGTAGCCACATATCTGCATTTCTGAGGTTTTCATGAAGCAATGTTATCTTCCCTTCAAGAACAGTGAGTGAAGGAGGTCAGCATGAGGAAGAGCAATGTGACAATCCTTGCCATTTCAGAAGGATGTTGTTTTGATCTTTGTTATGCTACCTGTGCCATTCATGGAGAAGTCAAGAAATGGAGCTGTCCAATGTGCATTCTAGTATTATTCAGGCTGAAAACTGACACTCTTCCCCTGGCTTGACAATTGAAGTCACTACGATAGGTGGATCAGAGCAAAAAGGGTGCATACTAGAGTAAAGTAAACTGCATGAAATCTAAAGCAAGTCAAGAACACAGAACACACACACATATCTTTCAGAGAGCCATAAGTATATAGCTTCGGGACTGTGAATCCAACAAATCTCTCCCTCATACCTAGCAAAACATCTGTCCAGAGACAACAACCAAAATCCATGGGTAAACATGGAAAATGGTGGCTCTGTCACAATCAATATCCTGAAATTTCTCTCTTTTGAGCTTCAAACACAGAGAAGACAGGAAGCAGTGAAATGGATGAGGGAAAGAAAATTTGCTAGCACAAACTATTCATGCATCATTGTTCTCTTACCTCATTTACATAGACCCAGTGACTATCCTTTGAAGCCAGGTTGGTTTCCACAGCCTAGAGAAAAGAAAGGAAAGGAAAGAAACAGGTGAAAATTACGTTCCACAGTTAATATCTGCTTAGTGCTACGAAGGATTGATACTTTTTATGTTTCTCCCATAATATTTTACAAGAGTTATATAATTGGCATCCCCTTCAGATGACAATCTGCAGTGGTACAAATCCCAGTGACAGAACACTGCAGCATCAAGGAACATTTATTTATTCCAGAAAAATCCACAATGTGTAAGTTAATTCTCTTTGGCATACAAATTCTATGGCAGTGTTTCCAGGGTTCCTTTATTCATCAACTTAGAATGGGGTGGGGAAATTTAATGTGGCAGAGGCTGTTTTTTGGATTGGCCAGATGCTTGGGGGCTTCACACATAAGTGGTCATGCTCAAAGGGGAACAGGACAATTGGCTAATTAGCTAATTTCTTCTTTAATTTTTAAAACTACATTAGGCTATTTCATGCACTGTTTTTTAAGTTTTATAACTTAATTTTTTCTGTAAAATGTTTACTTTTAAAAAGATTGCAACTTTATTTTTCCCCTCCTAAAATATTCATTGTCAGAAAACTAAATTGTTTCCTAAAGATTAATTCATCTTACAAACACAGCACAAAGGCCAGATGTTTATCCTAGAAGACAAACTAAAAACATGAACTTTCGTGTGGATTCTACTGAATAGGGTCTTGCGGTGTGTAGTCCTCTTACCATACTAAAATGTTCAGAGAAAGAAATATGAACTTGCACAGATGTTACTGATGTGCCAGCTGAAATACATGGATAGGTCATATATATCTTCATTGGTCATGCTGCCTCCTAGACTCTGTATATTGAAGTCTAAACAATTTCCTGCACAGATTCTGAGAGCTACAGTCCTCCTACCCTGAAGGATCTCAGAAATGGCTGAAGATGAAAATATGAATCATAGAACAATTGAGATGGAAGGGGCCTATAAAGCCATCAACTCCAACCCTTTGCTTAAAGCAGGAATCTAAATCAAAGCAGATCTGACAGATGGTTGTCTAATTTTCTCTTGAATGCCTCCAGCATTGGAGGGCTCACCACCTTCCAAGGCAATTGATTTCATTGTCATACTGCTCCAAAAGCTAAGATTCCCCCCCCCCGATATTCAGCCTAAATCTAGTTTATGATCTGGGGATGATCTAGAACAAACCCTACCCCCATCCTCTGTATGACTACCATTCCAGCATTTGAAAAGTGCTGTCTTCATTTTTCTTTTCTCAAGGTTAAACATGTCCAGTTCTTTCAGATTGTCCTCTTAGGACTTGGTCCCAGTCCCCTGATTATCCTTGATGCCCTCATCTGAAAGTGTTCCAGTTTGTCCTTCTTAAAATGTGGTGTCCAGAACTGAAGTCAAGATGCCTAACCAGTACCAAACAGAGGGGAGGGCAATACTTGTAATTATTATGTGCCATGAAGTCATTTCCAGCTCATTATGAGCTCCAAAAGGTCTTGTTCACATCTTGCAGGTGAAAGGTAATGAATTCCTTTACTGAGCGAGTCTGTCTTATGCTAGAATGTCTTCTTTTCCTACTGCCTTCAAATTTTTCTAACATTATTATCTTTTCCAATGAGTCTTATCTTTTGGTGATAGATCCCAAGTACAGTGATAACCTTGGTTAGCATTCTGGATATGTTCCTAGGATGTGGAGTACGTATAATCAAAACAGTGGTACATGATATCATTATAATATTATAATTTATTGGACAGGAGAAGATAGAAATGAAAGACTGAGCCATTTCTGAATCTGTAGCAGTAGAGGAGGAGGAGGAGGGAGAAAAGAACAGAAGAATCAGAATGCTGTTTAAAATCTATACTAAGCCACTGGCAGAAGTCATCTGGAGTTTCGGAGTAAGTTGTCATCAGTACCCTGATGACACGCAATTCTATCTGTCTGTTACCACCTCTGCAGTAGATGCCGTCCAGATGCTCGAGCGCTGCCTGGTTGCAGTACTGGAATGGACCAGAGCTAATAGGCTCAAGCTGAACCCAGACAAAACAGAGTTTGCTCCTGGGGGGGACCTCCAATAGGTTACAGGGTGGTCCCTAGACTGGATAGTACTCCCCTCCAGTTTAGGGGCCAAATGTATAACTTGGGCATTCTTCTGAACCTAGCTCTTTCTTGGGAGACCCAGATGGCTAATGGCCCAACTTCACCCCTACCTAAACAAGGACTCCCTCAGGACTTTGGTGCAGGCCCTGGTAATCTCCCAGATCGACTATTGCAATATCCTCTCTGTGGGGCTCCCCTTGAACCTTATCCAGAAACTTCAGCAGGTCTAGAATGCAGCACCCAAACTGGTGGTTGGTGCAAGTAAAATTTGACCACATCACTCCAGTTCTGGCTTACCTCCACTGGTTGTCCATGATTAGGTTCATGGTTTTGACACTCACATACAAACCCTCGACAGTTTGGATCCATGTTACTTGTTGGAGTGTCTCTCCTTAATGTCATCTGCCTGAACCCCAAGATCATCCCAGATAAGTCTCCTCTGGGTGGCCACCCCAAGGAAGGCCCATAAATCCTATGCAAGAGGTAGGGCCTTCTTTGTGGTGGCTCCAACTTTTTAGAACCAGCTTCTGGAGGAGCTCCACCTAGCACCCTCCCTGTGGACTTTTAAATTAAAGACATTGCTTTTCAGGGAGGCTTTTCACACCAACCCCAGCTGACCACCTTCCCCCTCTTTCTTCTTTGCCCTCCTCTTCTTCCCTCCCTTCTTTTCTTCCCTCCACTCTGGAATTAGCCAGTGCCATCTGTTTTTTTAGGGTTATTGCCATTGGTTTTAATATTTTTATTTTTGCTTTCTGAGTAGCATTGTGACACTAATGGAAGCAGAATAATAAATAAGTAAATGAATAAATGAATACACACACACACACACACACACACACACATACATACCTACATACATACATACATACATACATACATAAGCTAAATGAGTACCAGTGAAAGGAGGGAGGCAAAGAGAAGGAGAGGAAGAGAGATCAGTGTTGTGAAAGAGAAAAATTGAAGGGATGAGAGAAAAGAGAGGAGATACTTGGGTGAGGATAAAAAGACGGAAAGCTATAAGGTTCTTATCACAAACAAATACAAGGATAGGAGGAGAGTTTTTAATACGAGTAAAACCAGACACATTTGCTAGGCACCAGTGACTGCCATTTTGAAACCTGGCAAAGAACCAACAAATCCAAAACATTTCACGCCAGTCTCATTTGTCACCTTTACAAAGTCCTAGAAAGAATGATTAACTATCTAATGGAAATAGTGGAATCATTCTCATCCTATGATAGTCTGGCTTCAGACTGGAAAGAACTGTAACCATTCTATAACCAACCTAAAGTAACAGCAACCGTTTTGCCAAATAACAGATTTTTAATTAACTTTCATGGACAACACAGCTGATGGAGGACTCAAAAGGACAGTCTACCTACAGGCAGTGTTACTCCGGCTGCACTAACAACCAACCACTTTATCAAGTCATCAAAAGTTTTATTCATACTGATAATCTTGAACTTGCTGCTCACTCAGCTAGCTTTCAGACGGTAGGACAATTACCAAAAGATATATTTGAAGAACTTGCCACACAGGATAGAAATCAATTTTCAAAAAAACATAACGTACAGTGAATTGCTTTAACTTAAGAAATCTCTGTAGACATTATCTGTTGAACACTGAGTCTTGCAATTATTTAAGATCCATTTGCTTTTATGACTTTCTCCTCCTTGAGATAGAATGTTTCTGATAAATATGACAGCTCTGGGAGTATAGGGGAAATAATTTAAATCTGAATTTTTGAACAGATGATAAAATATTCAAATTTTTTTCTCATCAACATGAGACCTCCCAGAACCATTCTTTCCACTGCAGTAGCAATGGAGGATTTCCTCCAAGCAAGTGAAGAGGAGAGAACAAAAGATTCAAGAGCTGGACAGAACATTCACATATAAGATCATGAATCAACTGGTTACAGTGGTGCCTTGACTTATGAATGTCCCTACTTACGATCATTTTGAGTTACGACCAGCCCCAGCGGCAAAATTTTGCTTCTACTTGCGTCCGGAGCTTCCACTTACAAACAGAAAGTGTAGCACAAAACATAATTTCCAAGTCTATTATTCTCCGCAGTAGAAGTACTATTATTCATGTACGTTTACTTTTCATGAATCTAGGTGACACCAAAATTGCAAAATAAAAACTATCATCCAGCTAATAACATGATCAGATTAGTAAATTATGTTTTCTGAGGATGTTGGAACCACAGGTGTTGAACTTAGGTTTGGTGTCTTCCAGATAGGCTGGACTGCAACATCATCATCTCTACCTAGGATGGCCACTGGCCATGAGATTTACACTATAGCTCATGTGGAAGACTCTGGGTTGGGGAAGGCTGGCTGTTGACTCTGTGTTGTTGTACGCAATATATAATTTGATGGCTTTTAATGTGCTTTGCATGTGTGTAACCACGTGCATCCATTTCTGATATCTCAATGCTCTAGCTTTAATTCTGGATCAACAGTCTGCAATGGTTCCAACAAAAGATAAAAACTGCTTTTAAAATAGATACTGCATTTAAAAGTGAAGACTTTTTGGATTTAATGTACTTCATCTTAGAAATATCCAAACAGATTTAGCAAGAAAAGAATACAAGTTGGGCAACTTCTCTTTCTCTGCATCTCAATCAGATTTAAACAAGCAGAATGTTTTCCCTTTTACTCCCCCCCCCCCAATTAATTGCAACCCATGAATATAATTATTCAGAATCAGTCATTAAACTCCAGGTAGAAGAAATAGATTGGGCCTTGATAGCACTCAGTGAAAAGGTCACGAGAGGAAACTTGTGAAAGACATTTTTAGAAAGGTAATTGTGCTGTCTTTCAATAACAACACATTTTATTCATTCATGACATTTTTATACTACATCGTTTACTGAAAATCCACTACCCTGATTTTTGTATAAACAAAAATCATCCCTTCACAACCCA